TGACGTGGGCTGCCTTTTCGAGCTGCTCGTCGCAGTTTCCTATACTGGGGCTCGGTAAACCTGGAAAACAGGTGCAGGAGGCCTACCTTTTCCAGCTGCTCGTCGCAGTTTCCTTACTTATACTGGGGCTCGGTAAGCCGGGAAAACGGGTCCAGGAGGCCCCGAACCAACCAGCCGTCGCAAAACACCATTTCGCAAAAATAGTGTTTTTTGATGGGGGCTGCCTTTTTGAACTGCTCGTCGCAATTTCCTTGCTTACTGGGGCTCGGTAAGCCGGGAAAACGGGTCCAGGAGGCCCCGAGCCAACCAGCCGTCGCAAAACCCCATTTCGCCAAAATAGGGTTTCTTGATGAGGCTGCCTTTTTGAGCTGCTCGTCGCAGTTTCTTTGCTTACTGGGGCGCGGTAAGCCGGGAAAACGTGTCCAGGAGGCCCCAAGCCAGCCAGCCGTTGCAAAACCCCATTTCGCCAAAATAGGATGTTTTGATGGGCCTGCCTTTTTGAGCTGCTCGTCGCAGTTTCCGTGCTTACTGGGGCTCGGTAAGCCGGGAAATCGCGTCCAGAAGGCCCCGAACCACTCAACCATTCTGAAACCCAACGTCGCCAATTCTTTTTTGCTTTCGGCCCTTCGCGAGCCCCCGCGTGAGCGGCCCAGCGGTCAGAAACGTGCCCTCGGAAGCGGAACGCTCGGGCTCAAACCCCCAGCCTTGGCAAGCTTCCCGTCTTTCCAGCAATGTGCTTGTTTGTGTGTCTTGTGCGCGCGGCGAGAAAACGGTGGTCGCTTAAATGAAGAGGGGCATGCTCTAACAAACATCAACCTTTTAGATTTGTGTGTGAGGGTTTTCCGTTGAAGCAACAGGCTGCCAAAAGAGGCTTAGCTTGCTAGTGGGACGATCTTACTTAAAATGAAGGGGCAAGATCTTAATTTCAAACCTAGGTCGTTAATTCAGGGTGACGTCGGTGACGTCGTTATAATTTGCCAAGTTTTTATTTGATTTTCATTGCTTCCCAAGATTAGCTTCCGTTCATAACCAAGATTTGTTCTTGTTAGTCTGACTTGAGCGCCATGACTGTCCGCCCTGGTTCCACGGCCAAATGATTTTACCTCCGCTTCACGTTGCGTCAAGTTTGGACAGATGAAGCAGCTTGCTCTGGCGGCGTCTGTGCAAGTGGTGGCTTCAAGCTCAACAAAGCATGCCTGGATATGTCTGGGCTATGGCTATGGCGGAACAGTCACAGTCAAATGTTTCGTTTGGACCGTGAAGCCATGAATTCCGAGGAGTTCCACGGTCATATGAATGCGTTTCGGTTTTAGCTTTTCTGTCAGGAGCAGGAACACAGTTGTAAGTTGTAAGCCTCTACCCCCTTCGAACCAAACTTCACAAAATTTCTCTTTTACAGTGATCGCCAAAAGAAGATTTCGTCGACTCCTTAGCACTGAAACGGCCGAGAGCAGATCTGCAGAACATTGCAACATCTCCGGGTCCAGTGGAAATCGGTAGATTTCTATGAATCAACTGGGGTAAGCAATGGTTGCTTGCCCTTCGCCAGGGATCGTCGCCACCTTACCGCCCGAAACAAAGCATGCTTACAGTACTGTGACTATTCTTGATGATGCAATTCCCAATCACTGTGAATCTACGTGATTACACATGTGTAATTTCATTTTTCATCATGTTGGGTTTCAGAATACTAGCTTTCAAACGTTTTCAAAGTAATGCGGGTTGACCAGAAAAAACTGCCTTCATATTCTAGTTTCATTGGCACAGTACTCATTCGTATTCCTTTTATCTCCTTTACACTTTTACATCTTACCTCCCCAGTATGTTGCCACGCTCTGCATCACTCGGGCGCGCAAGGGATGAGGGGCATTTTCGGTTCCTGCACCAGCACCCGCTTCATGACTTCACGCTGAGGGTGTTCAAATTGGCGCCCAATAAAATCTCTGAAATTGCCAGTTTCTAGTGATAAACTTAATACCCGTTGAAGATATTGTCACCTCAGAAAACAAATTAATTGAGCTGCGCAGCCACTTGGAGGATGAACAGATGCCAATGTATGGATGGACAAATGAAACCAAATCTTTGGTTCAAGACCTTCAAAAGACATGGACAGGTCGTTTTGCGTTTAGACCTTTTCCAGGCGCTCCTTGACCATCGCGGCCAAGGTCACGGTTGGCGAACCAATGAAGGACCAAGGGAGCACAAGTGAGCCTCCCCCGGGTTTGTCTGGTTCGCAAATTGCCAAGCCGCAAATGATTCAATTATAGATTATAAAGCCAAGGACCCACGCAGCATAAAACACCTGCCACAAAGGTATACTTGGCCGGCGGGACTTTGCTAAGTTTAGCTAAGTCTAACTTGGACTTATAAGTACTTAGTAAGTACTTAGCTTGGACTTAGCTCAGGGTAACTTAGCTTGGACTTAGGTTGGACTTAGCCTGGACTTAGCTTGGACTTAGCTAAGACTTAGAAGTCCGAGCTAGGTCGAAGCTAAGTGTTAGTTTGTTTGATCAGTTTGAGCTAAGTCAAAGCTAAGTCAAAGCTAAGTCTAAGGCAATTATTGAAAAATAACAATGAAAACTGAAAACCGAAAGCTCGGTCTGGGAGTGCGCTGGTAGACTTTTCTCTCGCGCGAGCATCAACAGTCATCATCTGAGCATCAACAGCCAGCATCAACAGGCATCACATAGTTGAAACTGTTTTTAATACATTGAAAAATATAGTTTTTGGTTAATTACACTGTTAATACTATCATAGTTAGTGTATCACAGTTTAACTAAACTTATATATTGTCAGAAGTCTTCTGACAAATTGTTGTTGACATGTACTCTTTAAACAATATAATAGTGTCAGACTTCTCTGACATCTGTAAGAATTTTCCGACATTGGCCAGAATATTTTTCTGACAAATGTCAGAAATATTTACTATTTACACAAATATTTTCTGACATGTGCCAGAATTTTCTGACAAATTTTAGCTTAGATTTAGTTTTCGAAAGGCAATATTGTCATATTGTTCTGACACATTGTTGTTTACTTTTACTTTTAACAGGATATACTGTCAGATTTTGTCAGAATCTTCTGACAATTGTCTGAATATTTTCTGACATTTGTCAGATTTTTCTGACAATTGTGAGAATATGTTTCTGACATTTGTCAGTTTTTGATATATGTCAGAATATTTTCTGACATTTGTCAAAAATATTGAAGACAAGTTGAAAACTTGTCTAAATAGAACTGTGATAATGTTTAAGTCTTTGGGGAGAATGATTCAAAGACTTCAGGATGAAGACAATGTCAAAACTTTATATCATGTGACTGCTTGACGCATCCTATTTGCGCCAAGTACTCTATAGGATACCGTAGAAGAATCAACAAGCGGCCACGACGCGGAATGTAACAAAGAATAACGGCGCGGCCGTATGCTGGCTGGTTGTCGGTTGGTGGCTGCGTTCGACGCATTTTGGGTTGATTTTGCTTCAGTTTTTGAGCCTCGACTTAGCTTTGACTTAGCTTGGACTTATAAGTCTGAGCTAAGTCGAATCTAAGTCCTAGCTAAGTCTTGGCCCACTTAACTTTGACTTAGCTAAGTCAAACCTAACTACTTACTAACTCTTATAGGCTGAGCCAAGTCCAAGCTAAGTAAAACCTAACTTCTATAGAGGTTAGCAGACTTATAACGTTGGTTATAACTAGGTTAGGTATATGTATGTTATAAGTCCACTCAGGGCAACCGCCGGCCAAGTAAGTTATGGGCATCAACAATGCTTAGATTTCGTGTCAGAACTTTTTGTTTGCATGGCTTACGTGGCACCAGCACCTGGCGCAAACGAGGGGCGTGTGACACTTGCCTTGTGCTCGGTTACAACGAGGCATTGGCTGCATAATTGACCGTTGTTTTTGCGAAAAAAATGTTTCCATGTGTGAGGGGCGCGGAGAATTTGCATTCTTCAGTTGTTGCGGAAACCCCAAAATACTAAAAGCAGGGGATCATCGCAAGTCCAAACACCCGTGTAACATCATACACCTTCATTTCAAAACCTATAAACCCCAAGCACCACCAAATCCGGCGAAATCATGAACATTCCGTTCCTGAGGCCGCGGCCAACACAGATGTGCATACACGCCGCCTTTCACACCAATGCTCCCAGGTGATTCTTCACACCAACTTGTTCACACGCAGGCAAGCTTGCAAGCCGACTTGATGGAACTGCAGAGCGAGAAGCAAAACACACCCCCCAAAAAAGACAACTGTTCCTTCTCTGGATTGTAAGGAACCTGGTGCAACCCCACAAAGCGGACAAAAACCACAGCTACTTCACTGGCGTTGAGCAGGGCAGGACAGCTGATGCGCTGCTGTGTTTGGGCGCGCGAAGCAATCTGCCAAGTGGATACATAGAATCCACTGTATGCGCAAGGTCGCGCAGGACATGTCTTCAGGGAATCTGTCATCTTCGGGCCGTCTTCGGAGCTGGGGGCGTCTTCGGGGAATCCGTCTTCGCTAGG